GGAGGCCCCTGCGATGCCTAAGTCAGTATCGCGATCAACACATGAATATGCTAGTGTATAAAATTAAGGAAATGATAAAATATATGTGTGGAGTATGGAGCCGAGGTGCTCATACTTGAGACCCCCCTTTTTCTTGGGTCATTCACCCGTATATATAGAGAAGATTAAAAAGCTCCTTACCATAGCCTGTACAACCACCAATGCAGGGAAATAGACATAGACTAGACTACCAAAACACTTATTACCTGCCATTATTTATTGTAATGGGTCTCACTTATGATATATGTCAATTTGTTCATTGGGAGTGGGGCTGGTGGACCCACTTGACAAAAATGTCCTGCCAACTGCACCCCAGCTTTCATTTTCTTTTGTCGCCCTTGGAAAAAGATGGGAGCTACTTGAAATATTCATGTCTTCGGGGATAATATTCGCATCCTCTTTGGTAATGTACGCCTTGGGAGAGACATGTCGAGACCCACTATATGCTATCAAGCAAGCACGGAGACCGAATACCATAAATAATAATACACGCACAGGCCGAATATCATACAAGAAATCTTTTACGCCGAGCAATAATGAGATGTCTCATTGAAGGGCCAAATAATAGAATCCCAAATATAATTATAAGATGTCGTTGGAGAAAGACGAATCTTATATAAGACAACCATAGTTGGTTCATACCTATCTAAAGAAACAATAATATCCAAGTCTAAAAGAGGATGACCACAATCAAATCCGAGGGATGAGTATAATTGAATCCTGAGTACGATAAGTAATTATCGGGTCATAAATGAGACGATCATGAGACACTGTCCAAGCCAAATATGTCCGGCAGATATCAATAATAGATGTTGTTGATCCTTTGATTAGAGACCACATAACTTTAGCCTCCAAAGATAAACCAAATGAGTCCAAGGCAGGATCGAATAAATTTGATTCTTGATTGACTGAATACACTGTGTCCCCACAACATGACCGAACTATCTTGATCTCTGAGAGAAGGTCTCTATGTAGAAAGCCTCAATACGTGAGTTTCTTGACGAGGGACTTGATAAAGAGACCTTGAACACATCTATCCCTTGAGGTAGAGTAATAATGAAGTCCTTTACTGAACGGCTCAAGGAATATCGAAGATAGTTTTTTAATGTCTGCTAGAGAGATTTACATCCCGAATAGAATACCCATAGGTGCTCCATATCCAACTCCAACGAAGATAACAATATCAGAACCCCAAGGAGGGTTACTAAATCGAATGCAACAAACGTCGAGCATGAACGAGCCTAAAGAGAACAATAATAGTTGGCCCTTAGAAGAAGGACCAAATAACCTTGAATCTTGAGAAAGATCAAAATAAATATATCCTTGTAGAGAAATACCGAATACACCGGATCCTCTGAAGAGGGACCGAATAATCTTGGCTCTTTTAGAATACCCATAAAATAAGGCCCGAACATATCTGTCCCTTGGTCTCGACAGTCCCAAGTTTGATGGTCAACTGGGCGTTGACTCTTGCCCTTTCTTATCATGTTCAATTGACATTTAATTGAAATAAATAAAAGCGTACCTTGTCGAATTGAATCTTGATTTCTAAGCTCATAACATCATGAAAATGCACCCCTCGGGGCCATGCCTCTAATGATCTGAGTGCAAGGCTTTTTAAACTTTTGAGGGCGTTGCTTCGAGTGTGGAGTCTTACACCCCTCGGGGTTGTACCCCTAACGACCAAGCGCTAGGCTCGTGTTGAATTTTGAGGGCGTTGCTCCAAGGGTGGAGTCTTACACCCCTCGGGGCCATGCCCCTAACGACCAAACGCCAGGCTCGTGTTGAACTTTGAGGGTGTTGCTCCAAGGGTGGAGTCTTACACCCCTCGGGGCTATGCCCCTAACGACCGAGCGCAAATCTCGTGTTACCTCCCTAAGCAAAGAGTACTCCCAAATTCAGATTTTTGAACCCATCCTTGAGAGGTTTTATGCCTACATCAGGACTTTTGGTGCTTTGGCCGAGCAAAGGCTTACCCGTTTCTAGGACCCAGAGCCCACATTGTGTCCCCCATTATCATGCTTGTGATATCACTCAACAATAGTTCTTGGTTGCTCGGTGAGAGAAAACCAGTTATGGATTGACCAACCACTTTTAAGAAGTTGCAATGACCATCCTCTTGGTGATGTAATAACCATTTCTTAATGAGAGCCTGAAAACATTACAAGCCAATCATGTCATTTGAGGAGTTGGCTTGGTTCTCCCACTTTCTTGACATGATTCATGCCTTTAGTGAACTATCATGTGTCAAATTCTGTGTCTAAAGCCCCTTTGCATTCGTGCTTGGTGCACTGAAGTCAATGGGCCTTGCGTTAAGATCGTTATGGTTGGTTCTTCATTGTTGATAACCACTTCATTGTCTTCTAAAGAATTAGAGATCGAGTGCAACATTGGTCAAAAGAATCATAGCAATCCTCAATGATAGTTCGACAGCCCATAGACGAAAAACTGAACACCTTTTGGTCGCCACACTTTATGACGTTCGGGTGTAAGAACCTACTGAGTCAAGTAGTTGATTTGGGCTTTCATGTATTGTGATATCCTCGGCGTGGTTTGTAAGAATCACCTTTGCTAAAGTGAGTTCAAGAAATAGTTCTGCTCGTAGTTTTCTTGGTGACTATGATTGAAACCCAAATACGGTGTTGTCCTTTGTAAAGAACACTCAAGGGAAAGACCAAACAATGTCTCTTTTTCATAGGTGAGGCCGACCACCTTGGAAACTCAACTTCTAGATTTCCTTGTGTGGACCAAATGCCCCGAGACCATTGTCACTTTGGGATATGCCCCCCCACCATCGGGCTAGCTAGATCAAACGACACCAAATTTACTTCGGGCAGCGCGGATCTTTTGTTCGCCTGTTGTTTGTGATCGGGCTTTGCTAGCGTTTTTAATATTGTATTGTGTGCCGATCGTTGCGGATGTGGTGTTGCCTTTCTTGCATCAAAGACAACCTCCTCAGGAATCATGTCATTGTCCTTGTAGGCTTGGGGGCATCACCGAAGGTTCGTTTCGGCCTTAGCTTTCTCTGGGTGGGAATCGCTTCGTGACAATGCCCACTAGAATTTTTTATTTTCATGGGCCCTCATTTACTTGGGCTTGTAGTGGAAATAGAACCCATTTATTTTGACAAATGGTGGCTCGGATAGATGAGCTAGTCGATCTCGAGATGTTGAACCACGCCCCGAGTGATTTGCCAACCCCCTTCCTTCTTAGTTACAACGACTGACTTTTGGTTTGTTTCTATGGCAAAAGGCAAACATAAAAAAAAAACAATTTGACCCCATAATTCTTCGGGGTAGTATCCAAGAGTTCCACGGGTGGCCGGACATAGTTGCCATGCCAAGACATGTATCCCATAATTTCTCTATTATATGTACAGGCGCATTTTAAGAAACAAATATGGGAAACAATCATATACATCATTAAGTAACGAAAAAAGTATTATTCGAACTCGGTTGAAACATGTGAGAAATGCACTTATCTTTGGATTCATCAAATTCGATCGGCAAATATAGATGACGAGCAGCTGCTTGTAGATTCTTGCGACATCTTGTAATGACAATGACATCCTAAATATGCTCACTGCCGAGGCCTGACCCTCCTTCATGGGTAGAGATAACTTTGGTAGAAGAGCATCACTCATAAAAGTCCAAACACTGGTCCATGGTTTGAGGGCGACATGCTTCTTTGAATCTCAAACTTCTCGCTGTCTACATAGCAGAGAGACACTTCGAGCGATTATCAGTGAGTAGGTGCTCGAGTCCACTGCTGGGTAATGTACCGACCAAGCACATGGATTTTCTAAGTCTGAGCAATTGAATAACTTGTCACGAGCCGAGTGGATTTTAAGTAGTATAAGCCTAAGACCTTCTCACTCCCATAAACACTCATTCTTTGACTCGATTGGTCAAGACCACCTTGGGTTCAGACTTTGCAACAACCCCATAACGATAGGCGAAGATGACTTTCACGGTGAGTGATGTGTAGTTTGTTCATAACGCCGAACCATCTATAAGCTTGTAGCTGTGTCAAGTACTGTACTGCAACTCTACACCAGTGTGTCGATAAACATGCCACGATGCTTGATTGAATGTCCAAAGGAACGGCTCCTTGAGGGAGAGAGTTGCAGGCTAATTAGTTTGAAGGACTTTGGGGGAGGTCGTTCTTTCATGATGATATTGAGCCCCTCTGGATTTTCGGAGGTGAGACCGATCACTACTTAGTGAAGCCAGGTCAACCAAAATCCTTCCGTGGGGAGAGGACATCCCAAACGCGCGGATAAATCCCCTATAGACCCAATTTATATATATTCGGGTTGAAGACGATTAGGAATTCGGGTTGAGTCCAATTTATATATTCTTGTTGAACATGATAACCCGAGGTCTCAACCCGGGTACTGCCCGAATTCAACGTGGGTTGATGTTTTTCTGCCCAAACTCAACTCAAGCCCATTTTTTGTGGGTTGAATTCGAATTAAATTTGAGGGAGCCTATAGCAGTCTCAGTGATTTATAAGAAAAGGAAGTACGAAAATTAATTTTAGTACTGAACGTTTTGGATACGCAGAACTTAAGTATTAATGTAACTCTAACATATGGTGAACATTTTTATCCTCTATCATCAGACACAAATCAAAGGCATGCAAGAGAAGGGTTGACAGAATCGATGGAGTCGTATCAGACTTAGATAGTTTTTTTTTTTTGGCAAAAAGACTTAGATAGTTTATGTTCCAATAATGTGCCACTTTCTGTGTAGATTACGAGTTTTACTCGATTCATAAGTGCAACCACATTGAATGCCACGCGGTTTTGGTGAGGGAGAAGAGGCACAGACACAGCTGACTTTAGCTAGCCATGGAGTAAATGCTCTTGCTGTGACCTTTGACCCTTCGGGTATCCTTTTGCTTCTTTTAGGTCAGCGTACTTCTCACACATCTTAGATTTCTTATTTCCATTCTATAAAAGAAAACCTTTTCCTTAGACCCTTGTCTTCTCAGGCTTTTCTAAGAAGAAACAAAGAGGCGAAGCAAAATAAATAAAGCCATAGAGAAGAATAGGAACATACAATTGGGTACAGAGGAGCTACGGAGACTCATAGGAGAGAGAAATAAGCTAACGGCATATGGGTCGACCGCCATGCTGTGATAAAGTGGGAGTGAAGAAAGGTCCATGGACTCCTGAGGAAGACATAATGTTAGTCACATACATTCAAGAACATGGTCCTGGGAATTGGAGGGCTGTTCCTACTACTACAGGTCACAAATCTCTCTTCTGAATAGTTTCGCATTTTAATTTTTGTTTGTATTGTTTTTGATTTGATGATTTTATTCAATAATGGCCTTCTTTCTATTGCATCAATTGCACTGTGTTGGGTTAGATTTAATGTGCAAAAGATCACTCAAGTTGTCTTTTTTCTATGTGGTTCTTTCAGGGTTGAGTAGATGCAGTAAGAGCTGTAGGCTTAGGTGGGCTAATTACCTTAGGCCCGGGATTAAAAGGGGTAACTTCACAGATGATGAGGAGAAAATGATAATCGAGCTTCAAGCCCTTTTGGGCAACAAGTAATCTCTCTCTCTCTCTCTCTATGATGTGATTCCTGCAAGTATTCATGTATTGTAAGATAGGGCAACAGAAACTTCGTTAAATGTTATTGTCCCACATCCCTAAATGATGTCATATATATCTTTGCTTCAGATGGGCTGCAATAGCTTCTTATCTACCAGAGAGAACAGACAATGACATTAAAAACTATTGGAATACCCATATGAAGAAGAAGCTCAGAAAGCTTCAAACTGGCTCCAATGATCACTCTGAAGATGGATTATCAAGTACTTCTCACTCAATTTCCAGAGGTCAGTGGGAGAGGAGGCTCCAAACTGATGTCCACACTGCCAAACGAGCCCTAAATAATGCCTTGTCACTGGACAACCCGAGCCTTGTACCTGAACTGAAGCCCTCTAATGGGTATTACTGTTATAATAAACCAAGCCAAGCATGTGCCTATGCATCAAACACTGAGAACATTGCTAGATTGCTCCAAGGATGGATGAAGCCAAAGGCTGAGAAAATTATATCTTCAAGTACTCAGCTTTCCATCGATAATGGTGTGACTGATTCTATGTCCAGTGAGGCATTTAAATCGCGGTTTGGTTTTGAGTCTTTTGACTCCTCAAATTCTGATTTTTCTCAATCTTTGTCTCCTGAGGCTAGTCTCTTCCAAGGTGAAAGCAAACCAGATCCCACTGCCATTGAATTTGGACGATTGTCCATGCTTGAGAATTGGTTGTTTGATGAAGGTGTTGTTCAAGGGAAAGAAGATTTGATTGACTTCTCATTTGATGAAACTACAAATTTGTTTTAGATAAATATGATTATTATTACTGAGATTTTGTGACCGATTGTATCTTTTCTTTCTTTTTAATTCCAGCCCTTAACAATTCAATTACATGAATGTTTTATACTCCATGGCCTGATAGGAATTACCTTGTCTCTTTAATTAGTGTTAAACAGATAGGAAATGGCACATTGTTAGGCTAATTAATTGATTTGGAATGTTAAATTATAAGAACTTTGGGCTATTTGAAACCTTCAAATTATCTGCTGACAAAAAAGAAGATGACATTCAAATTATCTGAGATTCATCATGGCCATTATTTCTCTCTTCAGTCTACAGCAATCTGAAAAGCCAAGTTGAAACTTGAGACCAAGGCTTATCCATGTATATAATTACTGGCGTCCAACAAGTGGTTACAGGAACGGGGGCTGTGAGCTGTAAACTCAGACTTTATAAGTTTAGTTTTTGCAATCTCTTGAAGTTAGATCTTAAGGGATTTAACCCTCATAAATATCTTAATTTTGATGTGAATAACTTATTTTTTATCAGACTGGGAAAGGAATTAATTAAGATGTGCGTATGCTGGCTTGAACACCTCTAACCAAAGACTTATGCATAACATTGACAAGAAAAGAAAGTGCCAGTCTTAGTAATTCTTATAATGTTCCAAACTTGTAAATTGAAATGAAAATAAGGACTATAAGCCCAACCATGATGGTTTAACATCGAGAGGAATGCTATTGAGATAAAAAAATTTGATTTAGTTTGTTGATTTAATAATATGTTAGTTGACATTGCCCAGTAGTATTATTATAACTATAAATGTAAAACTTTTTCATCGAAATCATATCAATTAACATATTATTAGATCGCCAAAGTAAATACGTTTTTTAGGTCAAAAAAGGATTACTCAAACATCAAATAGGCCAGAGAAGGATCGTACCCCATGCGTTAGGGAATGGGGAGGATCTGCACTAGCCTTCCATCATATTGGAGGATTTCGAAACGATCAAATACACACAATCTTGTCTTGCATACAAAAAACTGATGATATTACTATATCACATGACATATGCTTGGTTTTCTCAAGAGGAACTTGCTCTCGCACTTTCTCCCTGGTGACCCCCTTTTTTTTTTTTTTATTAAAATTGTGGAAAATATGTGGGCAGGAATTGCCTTGAAATCGGTAGGTTAGTCTTTAAGGCGTACATGTGAAGTGTTTTGATTCCTCTACAACTAGCACTAGTTCGATGCTGAACATGCGGCTAATCCGTACTGTAAAGGCGTCGGAAGAACATAAGCATTTCATGAAATACCATGTCCAAGACAGTCCCTTTGGCCAGATAACTTAAATGATTTTTCAATATTCTTTCGACAACTCAAACGCGCATTGAGTGTGCAATATGACAAGGCTCGAGGAATCGATCCTATGATTTTTCAATATACATCTATATATATATACACACGATTACTTTGTGGGAATTGCACAATTTTACTAACTTCTCCATGTTAAGATCGGACAGGACTCAGAAATAATGGGGCTGAAATCGAATTTGCCTCGTTATGTAGCAAATAATGCTAAGTCTAATTTCGGGTACTGATTTTTCATTCACAAGTAAATATTCAGTGTAATAGTGACATCACATCATCATTGTAACATGGTGTCATCGTATAATAATAAACTTGATGAGATGTTGGACCAAAGCAGCCGATTACCATGGTTTATGTAGTCTAGGGATTCAATTTAGACAATTGAAAGTTGACGAGGCATTTAGCGTCGGGGGCATAATTGGGATGGTATCTATGATACTTACCCAAGTTTTTTTCATTGGGTATATTATGGGCCAGCATTCAAAACCTGTCGTGTATGAGAAATCATCCTCCGTAAGTGTTCAGTGAGTTTTGGCCCAAACAGTAACATGGCGGAGGAGCCTCATAGGCTCAAGGCCCAGCCTTTTCACCCTACTCCTACGCTGGTAAGGAGCTCGGACACTCAATCTAGTTCTAGTAAAAGAACCGACGACGACAACGAGTCACCGGGTCAATGGATCACTCCATTAGGTAAATCGACTAGTCAATCAAGCAGGCCTTGATTGATTTGTTGCAAAAATGATCTAATATTGATCCAATCTGTTTTATGCACTGAATCACTAAGTTATTAGGTCAGATCGAATTTAACAACGCTGATATTAAGTGTTCTTTTTATTTTTGGGCATGAGTACATAGTGTTGATGGTGGGGTAGGGAAAAGAAATTGTGCAGGTTTTGATTTCTGCATATATAAATATGCAAGAAGAAACTTTGTTATTACCGCTCAACAACCTATTAGGTGAGTTTTTCGTTGTATCAAGAATTATATTGACTCATTAGGGGAACCTCGTGCCTAAATGCACGATACAGTTAAAAAAAAAAAAAAGAGTGGCTTCTCGAGTGACGGGTGAAGTGAGGGAGGATGAGATGGATTTTGGGGAGAAAATATGTGAGAGATAAAAAATATAGATATATGCTGTCACGGTTTTACAGTCCAGAGGATTAATCTGGTAGGTGAAAAACTGTCTAATTCTTTATGAGTACGCTTGTATAACACCACTTGCTCAACCGATGTTCGATACATTGCATTCTCCTCCGCCCGAAGATGTGATGCCCTTGTTACATCACTGAAGAGGATGGGCCCACCTGGCCAGCTAAGTAGGTGTCCATACATCTACTTTAAGAATGAAGTTGTAAAAGCGTCTCTCACACAGTGATTATGCAAAATACCATGAAGTCATGTAAGTCAAGTTGCATCAATCAACAATAGATTTCCTTGTTTAAGTAAACATTTCCATTTCATTTTGCACATAGAGAATGTGATTAATTAGTTTCTTGTTTTGGTGATTTTTTTTATGTCAATTTCATCACAAATGCTAAAGGAAAAAGTGTTTTTTAAGAGCCTAAGATACTTTTGAAATGGTCCCCAAAGCCAATAACCCTAAGCTTTTTCTTCTGTGGGATTCACAATCAGGGTTGGGTTGTTGAGAAGCAAAATGCCTCATCTTTCATTATCCTCCTGTAAACACAATCATTATGTACATTAGGTCCTTGTCAAATCCCCAAATCTACTATCAATGGTGGTTAATTGCCTTCTTTTCTTTAGTTAAACAGATTAACTCTCTCTCTCTCTCTCTCTCACACGAGCCCACACACACACACACACACACACGAGCCCACACACATACATTTCATTATTTGGGACAAGGTGTTCAACCGAATTGTTCTAGAATTGACTTAATCTCTAGATTGCAAAAGAAATTATATACCCTATGAACACAAATTTTACACACTTTTTTCATACGCGAATGTGGCATGTAAACGTGACATGCTATATTAACAACTTTTAAACATTGCAAACCAACTGCACTAAATGCAGGTTACTCTATTTTCTGTTTTTGTGGCACATGAGTCTACTTTCTTGGGTAGCATTATATTTAATTAAATAGACGAGTTTGGTTTGCTTTTTTGAGTCATCTGCCTCGTGTAATTTGAAAACATGTGTCGAATATGTGTTTGTGTACTAGTAGTGTAAAGGCATACATAAATTTTTTTTTTCAAAAATTATTGATCTCCATCAATTTTACTGTTGAACCCCAATTGTCAGCCAAGAAAAAAGAATACACAAGTGTGTGTCCCTAGAAATCTAGAAAAGAATACACAAGTGTGTTGAACCCCATGTGGGTGTGCCTGTTTGGGTGTCTGCCCCTAGAAATCTACCTACCTATTTGTAAATAAAGAACCAGCGCTTTTTATTTCAATGATCGGGGTGCTTGAATCAATTTATGTGCACCTTAACTAATTTTTTTTTTGGTTCAATCAAAGACAAATTATTCACGCTGGGATTAGAGAATTCATGAGGGATAAACTTCTCATGATTTGATTCCAATAAATTGTCAATATTCAAACTCAGGACATCTAAATTTATAGTTCGTTTTTGTTACTACATGAACTACTATTAAAGTTTTTTCTCGGGCCCTTTCAGTTGGACAATTAACATATTCTTAGCAAAAGGATTGAAAGAACATTTTAATTAAAAAAACTAAGCAACTTATTTTTTTCCACATTAACTTCTGGGTTTTGGGATTCATATTTTGTCTGTTACACTTTGTCTCAATTATGAATCCGCTATAATAAATTCAATTGATATCCTATAAATTGTCATCAATATATTTTGGATGATCTAATTTGTTTTTAGGAAATTAAAAGATAGTCTAGTAGAAGGGATTCACTCCTATTTTAGGCAGTGATTGGGAAAGGTGCAAAAAGGACTATAAGTTTTGGAAATTTGTAGCAATGTCTAGTCATGCGACTTGAATAATTAGTAAAGGTGCATGTAAATTGGCTCAAACACCCTAATCGTAATACTTAAAAAAAAAAAAAAAAAAGGGACGTAGGTACTCTTCACACTTGGTTCCAATTTGATGCAATAGAATGGAAGAGGCTTTTCTGGACCAAACTATGGGCTTAACTACAACTAAAAATGGCAAAAAAAAGGGTGTAATGTAAATGCCAAAATAAATCTAACCCGTCAATGTCACATACCCGCTGTACCAAACCAAGTGTCGATGATGGTAAGATGTTAGTTGCTTTTGGAGTGCATTGAACAATCAAATTGAACTCCCGTTGAACATGAGAAACATGGGGCATATAATTAGAGCTGAAATGCCTTAATACAATCCCAATCTGACACAAAATGATTAATTATACAAGTACATTTAGTCTTAATGAATTTGTGTCATGACTGCTATGACTAAATAGACTTATTTAAGAAATAAGTGTTTTTTTTGAACTGATTTAAGAAATAAGTTAACATGAATCTGACCAAACACAATATAAATCCAACCACATTTGATTATGCATGACTTAAGGATGACACAGCTCCAATTAAATATGACTACATGTAGGTCGAAATGTGGGTAAGTAAATTATTGATGTGACAATGACGTGTTAGCCTTACGATTGCCACAATCGTTTTTATCTGGTTGCCTTTCCTACCGAGATGCATTAAGAAAGGGCTGGTTTCGGCCTGCACTTAACCAATGCATTCCACTGATGCTTCAGTTATATAAGCACAGCATCACAATCATTCCAAAGAGAATACACATAAATTGGACAATTTTTAACGAGTAAGAGAAAAAAAAAATTCTTCACTCTACTACAAGAATTAGTCTTTTAAGACAATTTTTTTTTGCAACGACGGTGCTCATTGTCACAAAAAAACGTGTTTTGAAGATTTTTTTTTCGTGTAG